AATGGACTTACACCAACATGAGTGGACCTTAGCCACACTCACATAAGAGGCCATTAGATGAAAATGAGACACTCGAGATGCGTGCACGCATGCACGCAAACCGAGGACCGATCTTAAGGCACGAATGCCACTCTATCAAAGCATGGCAAGGCGTGAAACATGGTACGCAAACATGAAAATTTCAATGCTGAAATATGATGCAAAACAGCCCAGAACACGGAAACATGGCACCCGATGCATGGGATGAGACCCGAAACATGAAATTAGGTACATGGAATGACCTATGGCTATGCAAAGCATGCATTATTTGAACATGAAATGTGAAGAAAGAATCAAGACAGTCCCAAAAAAAGCATATTTACATTTTTAAGCAAGGCCAAACAATGAACACAAATAGGACTAAGCTAGCATGCAAAAATGGCTCCGAAAGAGAGATAATGAAGCTAGAAGCTACTGCTGGCCCTAAATGGCCAAGAGCCCTTCAACAAAGTTGAAGAGGGGCTCAAAAAACGCTACTTTACAGTTTACGGTCAGGCCCAAAACAGTGCACAAGCAAGCTTAAAATACTATGCAAAATAAGGCACAAAAGAGAGCTGCAACACAAGGAGTAAAAAGGAAGCCTCAAAAAACAAAAGACCCTTGACCAAAAATGAAGAGGGGGTCAAAATAAGGCTATTTACAGTTCAGACCAGAGCCCAAAAATACAAGCACAAGGGGCTAACAAAACATGCAAAAATAAGGCCAAAAGAGGGACAAAGAAGCAAGTGGCAAAAGGAAGCCTCAAACAGTGAAGAGCCTTTAAACAATGTTGAAGAAGGGCTCAAAATAACCCACTTTTCAGTTTACAACATGCCTCGAAACAGTTTACAAATAGGCCTAAAATACTATGCAAGAAAGAGGCATACAAGAGGGGTAAAGAAGCAAGTGGTAGCTGGAGCCCTTAAACAGGGAAGGACCCTTAATCAAACATGAAGAAGACCTCAAAATATGACTATTTTCAGTTAGGGCGGAGCCCAAAAATGTAAGCAAGTAAAGCTTAGATATAGAGCAAAATAAAGCACAAAAAAAGGAAAATGGGACTCACCCTTGTAGCCTATATCTTTGACAACTCTTGAACCAAGGAAAGGTGCTCTTTGCCTCTGGAAATGGCCTCCAAGCTGCTGGTATGGAGTGAGGAGGAGTGGTGCTATGGGTTGTAGTGTAAAAATGGTCCAAGAACAAAGGGTTTTGGAGCTTGGAAGAGAGGGAGAGGGAGGTTGTGTGTATAATGCTTCAAACAATTTTTTTTGTGACCTTCAAAACAAAGCTGGAGGGTCTGGTTTTATAGAGGGAGAAATGGAGAAAAAAGGGGGGAAAATGAAATTCAAATTTCCCCTCAAAATAGGCCTAAAAGAGAGTTAAAGAGGCAAGTGATAGTAGGAGATCTCAAACCGAAGAGAGCCCTTCAACAAAGTTGAAGAGGGGCTAAAAAAAAGATACTTTGTAGTTTATGACAAGCCACTAAAATAAACAAAAGTAGGCCTAAAATAACATGCAAAAATAGGCCTAAAAGAGAGTTAAAGAAAGCAAAGGGTAGCTGGGGTTCTCAACAGCACAAGGTCCTTAATCAAACATGAAAAGGAGCTCAAAATATGACTGATTTACAGTTTAGGTTGGAGTCCAAAATGCCTTGCAAGCAAGGCTTTAGATATAGAGGCAAGATAGAATCAAAAACAGAGGGAAAAGAAGCTTACCCTTGAAGGACCAATGGACAGCAGGTCTTTGGTCTGAGAAATGGTGCTCCCCAAGCTCTAAAAAATCAGCTCCAAGTTGTTGGAATGGATGGTGGTGGGGGTGTATACCAAAAACCGGGGCAAAACAGGGTGGTTAGATGCGGTCCCGAACTGATGGCACCACGGCTGTCGGCTCGAAAAATCGGAAACCGGCTCCAAACGAGAAAAATGGGCTCCGACGCAAGAACGTAGCCCTACGGCCACCTGAGAAGATGATCTACGAGACCTTTCCCTTCCCTTCGGGAAGAGAAACAGAGAAAACGGGCTGGTTCGCAAACCGAGGCAAGACACGAAAAGAGCCGCGGAAGTCTGGAGGCAAGGCTCGCGGCCGAGACTCCTGAAACTTCTGAACGAATAAATAGCACCATCACCGATGCGCTCCAATCGGTGGGACGTCTGAGTCCTTAAGGTCGGTAAAAAATGGGTGTCTACACCTACCAGCTCACAGCCCGCACATGTACCAAGAGAACCGCTATAGCGCCAACTCGATACGTCAGAGAGTCAGTTCTGATACCATTTGTAACCCCAACGCTTTCAAACATGTCTCGATATTGTCCCCGCTTTTGGCCACGCTGCACAGGATTTGGTTCTTAAGTGGGTCACCCATCCTAGAAATTACTCAGCCAAATGCAGCTTAACTAGGGAGTTCTGTTGGTAATTTCACCATTGGGGAAAAGCCTCGAGCTATCTAAGGGTCCAAAACAGTTTTTTACTTTTGTAGCCTAGGAACTCCCTCTCCATTTCCTGATGTGGACACCGGTGACCTTATCCAAAGAAGAGTTACTTGATCACGCTATCTTAATTGGAACTGCTAGTATGCTGCGGGACCAATCATTATCATGAAAAGAAATTCATATTGTTTACGTGACTAGTGCCTTATGTAGTAATGAAATTACTGCCGTCAACACATTAGGGCACGAGTGAGGCACATTGGTAAATGTGCTACTTTCTTTTGTACCTTTATTAGATGTCAGGATTGGTGGTGGTAGGCGTGGAGGCCTAGAGGCACAAGGTGCCCATACTGACGCATATTCGGCACAAGAGGAAGGGTGTTAGTCAGCAATATGGTCAACCGTTGATCAGCAGGGCTATGGGCACCTTAGCCGCGAAATGTGCCGGAGCATTGAGGGAGTCCATGGACATTCTTAGTTGAGAATCAAGTCCCAGGCCCAAGTAACTGATGTAGGGCCATCTTTTTGAAGAAAGAGTTTTTCTGTCAAATCTGGATGAGTTTTTAGTGTATCCAAGGACCACTGAAAGCAGATGAGTGGCTAGTAGCAGATGGTGAAAGACGTTTTGAGATGCTAGGCATTGAAAACAGGACTTTGAGAGTGACGCTTGGGCATCCCTTCAGTCTGAAGGGAGACGCAAGGTCAGGTGGTGGAGCTACAGAGGAGCACATTGGAAGGAACTTGGAAGGCTTTTGTCGACGCCTTCCAGGACCAAGTGCTTAGCTACTAATAAAGGGAAAAGTTCAGGGAATCAAGGTCCCAAGTTAGTGAGTTGAATCTGTAGACGTCCCGAACGCCCCGGAGGATTGATCCCCATTCTGTTCATTTGGGGCTCACTAAAAGTTCGACTCTCAAATTGTCACGTTCTTAATCTGAATCTAAGAGTCCAAACTCCATTGGCAAATCGTTTTGAGAAAACAGATTTTTTGAAACGAAGTGCCAACATGCTGTTTGCAGATAACAGGAGTCGCCACCAAAATTTTATTTTTGAGAATTAGGAAACCCTGACTCGTTGTGCCTAAGGCCACGTGTCCGTCCATCACCAAAGTTGCCTCGGCTCGGAACACTTGGGTACTGATGTGGGGAAGGTCAACTTCGTGAGCACCCCCGCTCGCCTGATCAAGGATCGGCCTCTTACTAACCACGATATCTAGTTTGAAAACCTTTATGGTGTTCTTATCCGGTTATTAGCCTAGATTTACCATGTGATGCACACAGCATACAAGTATAGACTTGGATTGCCTGAATTGGACAAAACATTCATGTTTATTTTTTAAAAGTGGTTGATGGTGCTACTCGCAAGTAGGCTAAGATGTGGATTTGCCACCCTCGGGTGGGCTTAGAAAATATGATTTTGCCACTATCTAGTGGGCTTAAAACACACATTTGATGAATTGTTCCAATTCAAATAACCCAACCTTCACCCACAGGCATTTAGGCAGTTATATCACATAAGCATATAGCCTCATGGTAAGCATGCTATTCATGGCAGTCACTCACACACATGCAAGGATGCTAAAGCATAAAACTTACCGAGTACTCCAAGCCAAAACAGAAGCTAATTAGAAATCCATGCATGATCCTAACTATACAGAAATGCCTAATGCAACACATGTAAAAATGCAACTATAGAGGGCTCGGCTATTCTAAAGATGACATGCGAAATGCTACAACTAACAAGTATTCAACTTGGAATTGAAATATAATGTAGTTAGTATGATGCGCCAAGCCCGGTGCATGCAAAACAAATGAATGAATGCAAACATGCTATCATACTGTATGCTAATTGAAACATGCCCTAATCTAACCATCATAAGCGGGTAAATAAAAGGGAGAAAGACGTGGGGTTGGAAGACATACATCACACACACGCACACTTATTACAGTTGTGCCCTCACCTAGAGGGTCCGAATAAATAATATACAGTCCCAAATAAATAATTACAGTCCAAATAAATACAAAACTCTAATTAATTAACAAATTAATTTAGGAAAGCAGTAAATTGGCATGCAAATCCATGGACCGCCTCAGCTCTATTCCAAATGATGAATGATGCATGCTCGGGTTGCCTTGTGCGGAGAATCCCTTGCGATGCCCCGGTTTGCCTCTGTTTACAATTATTCTTAGGATGCGTGCCAGGCTCCAGAAGGTTGCTGATTTCTGATTTGCTGTAACAGAGAGCAACAAAGGGACATGGCAAAGTATTTTCACATATGTATGCATGACTACTCTTCAGGGAGTGTAGTCCTCGATCCTCGTGCCACCAATCACGCATCTCAATGCATGATGGCCGAGAAGTCGAATCGCATGACTCAATACGAAATGAATGCACATATGGACACAACAAGGTCTAGACTTCATCATGGATAATCAGGAGTGTCGGCGACCGGGAATTGAGACACGTTCCGTCACTCGGAGTACGAAACGTCCCTCGTTTCCCGTGCTTGGGTTAACTCCTATCCCAAGCACAATGCAATATGCATGACATGCATGAATGCAATCCTAACATGCAACCTAGCATACGCAATGCTATGAAATGGCACACACAATGCACGATGTAACGAGGCATACACAATGCTCTAACATACAACCTAGCATACACAATGCTATGAAATGAAATGGCATACACAATGCATAATGAACTTACACTAACATGAGTGGACCTCAGCTACACTCACATCAGTAGCCATTAGATGAAAATGAGGCACTCAAAATGTGTGCACACATGCGCGTAAACCGAGGACCAAGCCTAAAGCATCAAATGCCACTCTACCAAAGCATGGCAAGGCATGGAACATGGTATTCAAACATGCAAATTTCAGTACTGAAATATGATACAAAATGGTCTCGAATCACAGAAATATGGCACCCGATGCATGGAATGGTCCCGAAACTCCAGACTAGGCACATGAATTGACCTATAGCTATACAAAGCATGCATTATTTGATCATGAAGTCTAAAGACAGAGCCAAGGCAGTCCCAAAAAATGAATATTTCCAGTTCAAAGCATGGCCAAAAGATGCTAACATGGTGGAAAAAATAGCATGCAATCTTGACTAGCAATCATGGTTTACATGGCAAGTATATGAAGCAAATGTAATCTCACCAAACCAGAAAAAATCAGTGAATAAATCATGTAAAAATAGGCCCAAATAACCACTGATATGCAACCATGGTATGCAAAAATAATGAGTTACTTTGGAGGGCCATGCAAGGAGTTATTAAGCACATGCAAGGTAGACATTTAGCATGGCATAAACAACTATGAAAATCAAATATGGTAGTCCTAAAACTCACCAAATTGACCTTAGAAAGTGACTTCGAAGCATGCAAGATAGGGTCTCTTTGGAAGGCCAAAAATGACCACCAAACAAGTCAAGGTTTGGAGGCTGAAAATAGTGTGCTAGCCACTGAAAATCCACTGGATTTCAGTGGCTAGAAGGCTAAACTAAGCATGCAATAAGAGCTTAGGTGTAAGGCTCAAAATAAGGGACAATCAAGCATACAAGGAAGCATATGACCTTAAACAAGAAAATGCCCTTAATAAAACATGAATGTGATGTCAAAATGATACTTTTTCCAGTTTATAACAAGTCTCAAAAGTGAACAAAAATAGGGCTAATCTATCATGCAAAAATGGCCCTAAAAGAGAGAATAGAGACAGGGGACAGCAGCTGGCCCCAAAAAGTGAAGAGCCCTTCAACAAAGTTGAAGAGAGGCTCAAAATGAAGCACTTTAAAGTTTACATCAAGTCTCTAAAATGAACAAAAGTGAGGCTAAATCAGCATGCAAGAAAAAGGCCTAAAAGAGGGATAAAGAGGCAAGTGGTAGCATCTGACCTCAAACAGAGGAGAGCCCTTCAACAAAGTTGAAGAGGGGCTCAAAACAAGACATTTCACAGTTTATGACCAAGTCCAAAACAGCTCACAAATAAGCCTAAAATATTATGCAAAAATAGGCCTAAAAGAGAGTTTAAACACAAAGGGGGAGGAGGAGATCTCAAACAGAGAAAGACCCTTGATCAAACATGGAGAAGAGCTCGAAATATGACTATTTCCAGTTTGGGTCGGATCCCAAAAATGCAAGCAACAAAGGCTAAGAAAGCATGCAAAATAGAGCTAAAAGAGAGGGAAAAAAGGCTTACCCTTGTAGCCTAAGTCTTCAACAACTTTTGGTCCAAGAAATGGTGCTCCTAGCCTCTGGAAATCAGCTTCAAAGGGCTGGAATGGAGGGTGGAGGTGTGGTGCTATGAGTGGTAGTGTAAAGGGGGCAAGAACCTTAGGGTTTGAAGGGTTTGGAAGAGAGGGAGAGGGAGAGTTGTATGCAATGCCCCAGCTGGTTTTGTCAACCCTTCAAAATGGAGCTGGGGTGCTGGTTTTAAGGAGGGAGAGAGGCAAGGAAAGGGGGGAAAATCAAATTCAAGTTTTTCCCCCAAAAGACAGCCTCTCGGATACAGGATCTAGGGGGAAACAGCTGGCACAGCTGGAATACACTTGGAGAGAGGATCATGGCCGGCCAGGTTCAAAAGGTTCAGGTGGCCAGCTGGCCACCCCCTATGGCCGGCCGGCCAGGGGTCAAAAGGGTCAATTAGAATTGCTGGCCGGCCACCCCAAAAGGGTGGCCTCCCATTTGTGTAGAACACAAATATGTGGTCAAAACCCAGAAAATGTGAACCAGGAGAGAGAAAAGCCAACTTTTTAGAGGGGTTCAAAAGGGTCAAGGACAATTACTGGCTGGCCTATACATATTGGTGGCCTCCCAGGTGTGTACAACACAAATATGGGGTTTAGGGCTAAAGAAAGTGGCCCCG